GATCTGATTGAGGTGTTTAAGATTGTAAATGGAATTGACAGTGTTAATGTATCATTCTTTTTTATATTTAACAATGAGAATAGTAGGACTAGGGGACACAAAAATAAATTTTGGCAAGGTAGGAGTCATTTTCAGCTAGGACAGTTTTATTTTTTTAACATGGTGGTTGGCCTTTGGAATGGATTGCCTTCAGATGTTGTAGAGGCAGTAAATTTAAATGAATTTAAGAAAAAGTTTGATAAGTATATGAATGAAAAGAGCTAGGTTTAAATTTTTTTTATTCTAATTTAGTTTGAGGATGGAACAGCTGAGATGGACCAATAGGTCCCATGTTGTCCCAAATGTTATGTTATATATCACCCCGTTAGACAAATTGTTTCACAAATGAACCACCCATTTGATAAAAGAATTTTGTCTCAATATAAGCTTCCATCTAAATTTCTAAAACTTTTAGTAGTGATTTCTACTTGCAAAATTCAGACTATTATTTTAGCCCTCTCTTTTCCAAACTCCTTTAGAATGTTTGCTTGAGTATTATACACTTCAAATATACTGTGTTCAAAAAAAAGAACTAATTTAAGCCAATTAATGTAATTATAGTTTCATAATTTCTATTTTTGAAACCTGGAATAATTATTGTTATTATCCTTCATTTCTTGAGTTTAAAATTTTATTATTGTTATTATTTTTTAATAATTTTAATTTAGTTTTGAGGTTGGAATAGTCGAGATGAAGAATAGATCCCATTTTGTCCCAAAATATTATGTTAGGTTAAGTTGAAACATTATATTCAAGGTTTCATTTTGTGATATCAGTTATTATTTTTATATTACAGGGTAGCCTTGCTGACTATGGTAAACTGTTATTACAAGGACCTTTTAGTGTTTGGATGGAGAAAAAAAAGGACAGAATAAGAGATCTCCGTTTTAAACCACAGCAACGTTTTATATTTTTATATGAACAGCTTGTTCTACTTACCAAGAAATGTGGACGAGATGAACATCCTACTTATGCATTTAAAAATGCCTTAAAGGTAAAATTTTTATATTTCTCTTACAATTCAGACTGTACACCTTAGTCTGCAGTAAGAAGGTTTTCTGTTTATAGTTTTGTATGTGTGAATTAAATGTTGTTTGTTTGTTATTATTAAGCTCGAAACTACACAATGCGCTATCTGTGCTTTACCATCATTGGTATTGAAACCCAGTTTTTAGCATTATAAGCCCCTAGATTTACTGCTGAGTCACTAAAGAGCAAGTGTTGTTAAAAGCAAATATGTATGCATAAAATAATTATATTTGATAAGTTAAGTAGGATAATAACAATCCCAACAAAAGTCTTTAGATGGAAATAGTGGTTCCTCATTCATGTAGTTATATTTTATTTTCAGCTTTTGAATTAAACAAAATGGTGCTAATATATATAGTAGAGATGGCTGATATGGGTATTAGAAACTTTTATTTAAAACACAACACAACTAACAACATTTTGACCATCTTAAGTCATCCTCAGGTTAAGAATGACGTTTGAAAAGTGACCATTATTGATCACGTGTCATGGGAACAGTAATGATAGGTTTAAGATTATAGAGGGCATTGTATATATTTAATCTATTACATATGGTAGTTAACAGTGTATTATATTTGTCAGTGTAGTTTTTACATAGTATAGATTTTATTTTGGTACCTGGTTTTTTGGATAAATTTGAATAAAGTTATAAGTTTTTTAAAAATGTTAGTTATTTTGTTGCTGTTATTTATAAGATATAATGCAATGACTACCATGATTTCTATATTGGAGAAACAAGCCAAAATATTGAAACTAGATTCAATTAACACAAAAAAACACCCTCCCATGTTTTTGAACACTGTATATTAAATAAACACAACATAACCATATAAAACACTAACATATTAAACAAAGAAACAAAAATAAAGAAATGAAAAATTAAAGAAGCTCTTCTAATGCAAAAACTTAAACTCACATTGAACCAGCACCAAGGAACATTTCTTTACCTATATTAATTATTTTCCTTACACGTGTTCACACAAGATACTACACTATTAACTACCAAATAACTTATATAAATGCCAGTATGTGTGTCACGTCATGCTTGATTTCTCAAAACAGGAGGAATCATAAAACCCAAAATGCACTTATCCAGATAGAATAGTTTGATTACTGTCTGTCCATTATGATTTTAGTGACAAGGGGTGCAAGGGGACTGTGAAAGGGGGGCATGAAACCTTATAAGTGTAGTGAGTGTTGGTATACTAAGCCTAAAGTAAAGACATAGTGTGGGTTCACCTTGTCTAGAGCCACGCTCATAAAATGTATCATGAAAGTAAAAAACATCAGTTCGATTTTAAACTTAAATCGTTTCTGAGTTAAGCTATTTTCTGTTATATCACCAACATTTTTAATAAAAAAACAAACCTCTTTAATCAATGGAGACCTAAATTAAGAAATCAACAAATATTTTTCCAGTTTTGTTTATACATTTCATTTTATACTTTCAGTACATGGACTAACAACAATATTAGGTTATACTTTTGTTGCTAAGCAACATGACATAAAAGCCATTGTTGGAACGTAGTATTACCAAAACGCACTGTCATTTCTATATATTAGAAATTGTCAATCTAACCGATTTTTACCAATAATTATTCCATGAATACACCACAAATTAATTTCATGAATGATCTTAATTTTGATTGGTTCACAAAGGAATTTATCGACATTTGACTGCTTCGACTGCACTTTTCTGCCTCTTTGTTTTTCAAGTTTAATTTCACAAAATTTATTTATTTCAGTTAACTATGAAATGTGAGGTTAGGGTATACTTTGAGGTGGAGATGGTTTTTGACAGACTGTACACTAGTATATAATATATTAACTATATACAATACTCCCTACAATCTTATACATATCATCCTCATAACACATGATCAATAATGGTCACTTTTTCAAAAATCATTCTTAACCTAATGATGACCCAAGGAGGTTGATTTGTTTGTTTGTTTGTTTGAACTGAATTACAAAGCTACACAATGGGCTATCTGTGCTCTGCCCATCATAGGTGCCGAAACCCAGTTTCTAGCACTGTAAGTCCACAAATATATACCGCTGTGCCACTGGGGGGCAAGGAGGGTGAAATATTATTACTTGTTTTGTGTTTTAAATAAAAGTTTTTAATACCCATATCAGGTATCTCTACTATATACGTATTTACTTCAAGTGGATTCCTTGTCACATGAAAATTGTGTTCATTTAAAAGTACCTAAAAATTGAAGCAAATAATAGTATAAGATTTTGAAATTTGAATGGAAGAAATTAGATGGTTTTAAAGCCATTAAGTGGTTCCAAGTGTTACCAGTATGTTTTGTAGTAGTAGCAGCATTAGCCCCAACCAATTTATTTACTAGTCTGGGGTATTATATAGGGATTCTGGAATTAAATGCTTTCAACAGTATTATTTTTCTTTATATATTTTAACTAATATTTTATAAAGTGATTTACAAAAGTAAAGAATACTGTTCCTTTGTTAACTTTTTTAGACTTCACAAATTGGTTTAACAGAAAATGTTAAAAGTTCACGAGGAGACAGTAAAAAATTTGAAGTCTGGTTACATGGAAGGTCACAAGTCTTTATTATACAGGTAAGTGGACTGGAGAAGCAGAATAAATAGGGTTAATTGAACTGTATTTGTATGCATATTTTAACTTTTTTTCTGAGTAGTTCAGATATATCCTAATAAACATTTGTACCCACTGACTTGGATTTACCCCAAGGCTACCAAAAAATGTTTCCCTCCACTGCAACATGTGGGAATACCCCCTGTACTTGAAACAATTGCCAAACCTGCATGCATGCTGCCATTTGTGTTCTATGCCATGAAACCTGGATCTTTATTGACTTAGTTTTGTCTATATTTATGCCATTTACTGGAGAACACTTTTCTTCTAATTTTCCTCAATTTTTTAATTTAAATCATTATTTTTCACTATCCAATATGGTTTTCAAAGAATATTACTGTCAGGTATAGAAAATACAGCTTCTTTCAATATTGAAAAAGTAATACAAAGAGTCAAATTCATACTTTTATGTTTTGGTGGATAATTGACACTTTATGGGAATCAGCGTGAAAATTAATTGCACAGTGAAAGGGTTAAAGTGTTCATAGATAGCTTGTTTTTTTATCCTTCATTGGATGTTCTCCATTGAAAGCATCACAGTAAAGTATTTTTTGCTTTGCTTCTTTGTCATAAGTTAGAATTATTAGTCATATATATAATCCATGAATTCCTTTTGAAAACTAGAATTATTTTTCAGTTGACTCTTAGTTACACTTGTAAAGTTACAAAAATTTGCTCATGAAAAGTGATATAACTTTTAACACATATGCTTTTATAAAATCTTGTTATTTTATATAAATTTTTAAGGCACCTTCCTTAGAGGTTAAAAATACATGGGTGAAAACTATCAAAAAGGTTTTACTACAGCAATTTGAAGATCTCAAAGGTAAATTATTTCTTATTTCAAGGTATTAATACATTAAAGATGAGTTAAAGAATATTTTGTTACAGTAGTTTGAAGATATCTGTGGCAAATTGTTTTTCAGCTCAGATATTAATGAAGAATGATTTACTACGGTAGTTTAAGAATAATTAAAAATATTGTTTCATACTTAAGCTGTTCCTGAAAGTGAACTACAAATGCTGTGTAGAAGGTTTTGTTGTGTTATGTTTTATATTTAAAAGTTAGGATGGGATTAACTTAGGTTATTGATAAAAATGAAGTTATCATGCCATGAAAAATTATTTGTTTGATCAATTATTAGATCTCCTATCTACATTTAGTTAATTGATTGAAACTTCAATTTGTGATAAAATTGAACTTATTACATGGTGGAACACGATTATTTTCTACAGTTTCTAGATCTAAAAGCTACATGTATCTAATTTATTTAATTAATTCTCTAAGATTATTGATTAAAATTAGGTTGTTTATGCCATGAAATATGATTTTGTTTCAACAGTTCCTAGATCTTAAAGGTACATTTAGTTAAGTTAATGATAAAATTGAACTTATTATGTCATGAAGCATAATTATGTTTCATCAGTTCTTAGTTCTCAAAGTTACATGTGCAGTTTCATAGTTCATTGCCTCATATCTCACAAACAGTATGCCATAGGAATGTGAAATTGCACATGGGTGTTAAGGTTATCATGTAAATTCATAGGCCACAGTAGTTATGCATATTTCTATGGGTGCAAATGGGCCTTTCATTTACAGTACAGGTCATTCAACCAACATGAAACTGACAAATGTGCAGAGAGGTGAAAAAATGAAATGTTATTACACTATTGGATGCAATGCCGAGGCAGCTCTCAGTGAATACCATAGAGTGCATAACATCTGTGGAGGATTTTGTTCCAATATTTCTTTGTGCAAGTTGATAAGTCTCTGACAGGCAGACCACCAGCACCTACTGTAACTATCACTGAGGTCAGCCATAACATGGTAAAACAAGCCTGCATAAATGCACATGGGTGCAGCATGCACATGATGTCACCTATTTTCTGGATTTGCCAATTACAATTGTTTGTAAAGCTTTTCAGTCAACATAGCAAGTGTTTCCTTACAAGATGAAAGAGACAATAACCCAACATGTTGATTTTACATTGCAGTTCTTGTCAAGACTGGAAACATGGGCATCTGCAGACATTTTTCCGGGGGAAGGGGTGTAAAGTAGTGAGAAATTGTGAAATTCATATACATATGCTGAATGAATAAAGAAAGAATTATGTTTCTCATACCTTCCCTGTGGAAGCCCATGACTGAAATTTGATGACTCTTATTGGAAGTGTCAACATGGACAACTTCATTATCTGGATGGAAACTAATCCAAATGTAATACTTGCTACATGTTTCCATGATGCTAAGGTGACAGCATGGTATGGTATCACAGCTGACTTTGTTATTGGATCATGCTTTTTCTTAGGAACTGTCAGCACCTGAATTTGCACATGTACCATGAGAAGCCTTGCATAGTTCCAGACTGCAAGAATGCAATTTTATTGAAAATAGTCAACATACCAGAAGAGTTGTGCAATGCTGCTGTAATGTTCATTGTTACACAGATGCATTGCATCTTCTTGTGCAACTTCTTTTTCTCTATGCCATACCATTTGTGAGATATGATGTATTGAACTGCAAAACATTCTTATAATTACCCATGATTTATTTAAAAGTTCATTTATCTCAAAGTTACATGTAGTAACATGATTAATGTTTTTATGTCAAAATGTTTTTGTAATGCTTAAAAATTAAATAAGAGAATTGCTGGAAAAGAAAAAGATTAATTGCTTGTAGAAGTGTTGATTTTTCATTTTAAGTCTTTTTTTATTTTATCTTAGGTGAAAGTAGAAAACAACACACTGAAAAAGTCCCAAACATTTATAATGGAACAAGAACAGCAGTTTCAAGTGCTCTCCATAGGTAAAGCAGTTTTACTGCTTTTTTTCTTTTCTTTTTTTACTTAACTGTTCATATTATTATAAAGACTTAATGAGACTGTTGAATGAGAAATGTTGAGCACTGAAAAAAGAAAACACTCATGGTAAAAAATGGCAGATAAAGTAAGATCATTCTGTGGACTACCAACCTATGTTTGTTTAACTTCACTACTTCATAAGTATTCATTTTATAGAACAATTAAGACAAAATTTACAGTACTGTTTTATTTAAAGTCATAACTTATCATGGTGTGAATGACTTATTATAGTATGATTGAAAGTGACTTATCACCCTGTGACTCAAATAGATGTTTAGAATAAGTGTTCTGAATTAGAAGTTAAAAACTTGGAGTTGGAATTTGAAACAAGTTAAATTAACTACCTTGTATGTGAACACTGCACTGTGAAGTGATGTTCTGTAGTGATAGAATGCCAACTGTCGGTGTCTATGTGTGACAATTAAATGAAGAAAAACCCACGTAGAGTTTAAAAATCCAAATTATTGCAGAAAATCTATAATGTTCAACATAATTTTGGTCTTGGAAGGAATAGCATTGCTGCTTCTCTGAACATCACTACTTTGTGTGTGTGAGGTACACTGTTTTTTATACTCTTTTTCAACTCTGTGAGTGTCTAAACTTCTTTCCTCTGTATTTTAATAAACTATCAGCTTGTATGTCTCAGCCTTTGTTTTGTGATAAGTCCATTCAGTTGCATATTTTTTAAAGTTGTCATTTTTAATTAGGGATGGGCTTTTGCTTTTTATTTCTTCTGATATCACAGAGGCTGATTATCTTCTCTAATTTTAGTGAGGCAGCTATTGCTTGTGTTTCCATGAGTAAATTAACCTCAGCTGAGGTAATGAATGCAACTCAAGGTGCTGAAAGCAGTGTAATGAAAACTGATAAAACCTACATTTTACAACTACAGAGAATAAGAAACTGGAAGACTTGAAGATGACTATTAATCAAAGATTTGTGAACAAGCAACAACAAAATCAAACTGTATAGATTTAAACAATTGTTAATAATGAATTGTTGGTAGCACAGGACCTGGTCTTTAAAGCAGTAAAACTCTAGTATGTATAAGAGTGAAAGAATAGGACATGAATATCACCAAGATGTTGTTCAAACCAAATAATTGCTGTGAGCAAGACTGTAGACTAGTTTTATGTACAAACATAGAGGAGGAGCTCAAAATTTTGCTTTTTATGCCAAATTACAGTGAACACCAAAGTGAGAAAAACATTAAAAATGACTGAATTATATTTTTTGAAAAAAAAACGTCTCAGTATTCTTCTGTGGTCCATTTGTCAGTTTTCAGAAGATTTGAGTAGTTAGTGGACCTGAGATTTGCAGAAGTCAATTTCTTTGTGAAAACACCAGCAACAGCCACCTCACCAAAATTAGATACAATTGTCAGCTTTCATGGTACCAGAAGAAACAAAAAAGAAAGTTCACCCCTAATCAGCAAATAGAACTTTAAGAATTATGCCAACTGAATAGTCTTATCCTTAAACAAATTCTGAGATATACAAGCTGATAGTCTTATGAAAATACAGAGAAAAGTGGTTGAGATACTCAGAGTTGAAGAAGAGTATAAAAAAATAGTGTACGTCACACAAAGAAGTGATGTTTAATATCAGGTGTTAACTCCAACCTGAGAGAGAGACTGAATCTTAAGGCTTACTTAAAAGTATTTATGTATTACTGGTAGGAAATAACTTAAAATGAAAAAAATGACACAGAGAAACATGGTTTGATCAGAGGTTCAAATTTAAAGGTAGGAGATACAAAAAAAGTAAAACACCCCACATATTTATATGCCAAATTACAATAAACACCAAACTGAAAAACCATTAAAAATGACTGAATTATCTTATTTATTTCTTTTAAATTAACAGCAATAAATAAAGAGTTTCTTAATCTTTTTAAAGTCATTTCTATATTGTTTCATTTTTATTAATCACCTTTTTCAGCAAAATATATTTCTTTTCTGGTATCTGTATAAATCTATTGTATGTTCATGTAACTACTTCGAAGGGTGTGAATGAATCTTCAACAAAATCGGTATGGAGGTTCATTAGGTCCATGGGGGGTACATACAAATTTTCAGTTTTTATGGGCATTTTTTACCACACTTTGCCCTCTGTTGGTGGATCTTCACCAAATATGGCATGAAGGTTTGTTGGGTCCATGGGGAGATACATAAAAATTTTCAGTTTTGCATTTTGCAGTTTTTATGGGTGTTTTTGCATTTTTTACAACTACCTTGTCCTCTGTTGGTGGATCTTTATTTAAATTGGCATGAAAGATTTGTTGGGTCCATGTCCAGGGGACGGGTACTCAAGCTAATATATATATATAAGTTTCAGTCTCCAGTCCCTCTCCCTTAAGAGATTATTTTTAGAGATTAATAATTATTATTATGTGATAGAATTGACCTCAAATTTCAAGTGTGTCTCATTTACTTTAAGATCAAGAAACACAATTGGCAGCCTTAGCTGGGACAATTGTCCAACAGTCACCAACAATAACCAACCTATTGTTCAACATGTTCCCGAGCTGGAGCGGAGAGCAACACTGCCCACAATACGATACCATGGTTACAAAACAAATAGCGTTTCATACTCAGAAAATCATGATGATGGATGGTCGACTGATGACTTTTCACAGACTGAAGATGAAGATGATGATGGAGATATGTTTGTTTGTAGAAGTGAGGTAAGCAACAATTTGCATCATTAGATTTTACATTCAGAAAACATGAATGAGTTTTAATTTTGTCATCTAAGTATTTAAACCCAATTGACACTTCATGTGTATATTGAAAGCATGAAAGGATAAATATTTTGTTTAGCATATCATTATATATATGCATGTATTATTTTTTGTGTTGCTTATCAATACAGGAGCTTCTTTTTTTCATGTTTATGCATTTATAACCCAAATATTACAATTAAATTTTTGACATTTAAAATATAAGTGCTGTATTACTTTTCCATTTTACAAGTATTTTTTCTGGTGAGTTTGCTCAGCATTTTATCAAAACTTTTTTAGATATATTCCAGATTTGGTTTAGATAATTTACTTTTTATGTTAGGTTGGAAGTTCTTATCAAGCCCTGGGAGATTATGAAGCTGTAGATGTTGGTGAAGCTTCTCTTACTGAAGGGCAGGTTGTGGAAGTGGAGCGAGTGGGTTGTGCTGGCTGGTGGTATGTAAGAGTCACGGAAATAGGGACTCATGGCTGGGTGCCAGCTATGTATCTTGGACCACTAAGTGGAAAATATGGCTCACACTCTACACCTTCAGTCAGCAGTCAAGGTATGATATCCTAAAATTATTTCCAAAAACTTGATACAGCCAAAGTCATTTGGACTGTAAAAATCATAATTCATTTACTAGTATGAATATATGTAGTTGCTTTTTTGTCTTTTCAGTTTTTTGATTTATCACATTTTATGTACAGTGTTTATCAAGTTCATTATCATTCATAGTGGTCTTACTTTTCCTAGTATTTTTTATACATCTTTTATAAAAGGAAATTACTTTTCTTAGTTTTTAAAGAAACAATAGCAAATCTAATTGAGTATCTGCAAAAACTATTATTTATCTCTTTCTGCTTCGAGTGTATATATATATGTCAAAATATCAATTAAGAATTTATTGAGTTACAGAATCAACACAGTTATACTTATCATAGGAATTGTGATTCTCATCTGTGACTAAATTAATGAAAAAAAAAAATTCAAACTGAAATTGAAAAATATATTTTTGATTTTTGCTTTAATTTCAAGATTCAGGCAGTGGAAGCCTCTATCATGCAGTTAGTAGAACAAGCGTTGCTAGTACTGTCAGTTTGGAGGGTGCATCAGCTTCGTAAAGGACTTTTCCAAGCAGTTATATATTACTCTGTGGATAATAGTGAAAAACCACTGACTGGCAAGAAGTGGTATAAAAGTCTGATTGTTTTTTATTTCATTACAAATGATAATGAAGAATTAAGTTACTTGTTGCAGATTGAACAGTTTATATGTATGCCAGCTGTTGATCATCTAATCTTTGTTTTCTGTTGATGATGTCCTTGTTATTTGAATTCTCCTACCCCACACTAGGAACTGCTTTACTCAAATATTGTGAAAGGAAATAGTATTTTGTGTATGTTTGATTTTTATACACTATAGATACTTCATATTATGTGTATTTCTTTCATCTGGTAAAAAGTATGTTTTAATGTATTATAGTATTGTGTTTAATATTTGTATAAAAACATTAAGTCCTTTTAGGGCTGAAAACAGACTTTTGTCGATTATCAGTTCACTCCAAAGAACTAATCGTTCTGTAAGTAGGTTATTTTTAACAGAACTACAGAAGGGACTTATCATGTAGTATTGAAAGTTCAGACTGCCATATGCTATAATTTACTGTACTGCCTACTACTACTCTGTACTGCCCAAAAAAAAAGGTATCACATTTCTTGTTCTTTAAAATCAACTTCTTTAGAAATGTTTTTCATATCACTTGTTACTGAATATTATCTATAAAGAAAAACAGTTTTCTTTGTTGCCTTTTAAAAATGTTTTGCATGATGCTTGATTTCTTAACTAATGCTAAGGATTTAATGGTTCTTCAAAAACATAGTTGGACTGATCATCAACATCAGTTGTAAAGTTTGATCTAGTTATGCTATGCCACCTGAGTCATAACTTTTCATAACGCCACTACTTTCTATATATTTGTAACTAACAACTATACTCTTTGATCACAGAAAAACAATTAATACCAAGTTAAAAAGCTTATTTTAAAATATCTGATATTAGGAGTAAAACTCAGTGGAAGGAACTGAAAATCAACATCATGGTCTTTTTTTGTTTGATCAAATGTTGCCTTGAATTTTGTGATAAACAGCTTTCTGGATGCTGAGTTCATCTTCCATAGATGTTCAGTTTTCCGTCCCCTTGTGGCAAAGACGTTTAAGACTTTAGTACAGTTGCATAACATCACTGTTTGAACACATTCATCCATTCAGTCAACGAAATACCACTATTTTATCCACAGGATTACATTGGATTTTGGTTTGGAATATTTCAGGATAAAACAGAGATTGGCATATGCTTCCCTGAATTGAATGAATTTTTTTTTTCACGTAATGTGAAAATGTTTAGTTAATTATGAATTATAAAGTATGTACAGAAGTTTAAGGGCACACTATCATCTTGGGAATCTAGGGCTTAATATTGGTTATGCCATCTAGTGACATTTTTTAGTATCATTACTCTAGTCTGAATTTGAATATGATATAGGATTGTAAAGTTTATATATACTAAAATTGTTTCGTTAGTATTGACTTAATAAATTAGATGGCATTCTGATGATAACATTCTAAACTCCTCATTAGAAAATGTACATGAATCTTAGATCCTCAAGATGACTGTATGCCTTTTAAAATCACTGTGATGTTTTAAGAAAACGTTTTTGTATAGATTTAGGAGTTTACAGTTTTTTCAACTGCTTCATTCTCTTACTGAGCTCAAATTGTGTAACCATTTTGCAAGCTCACTCTTTTGTATACACTACCATTGTGTTGGGTAGAAATTTTTACATTGCAGCAGATTCAAACTGTTCTTATTGAAACTAGAAGCTATTTCTCTTGAAATTTCTTTTTACTATTATAGAGAGGAACTAGTAACATTTATAATGAAATTTACTATAGTAGTCAAATAATAGCTTGTTAAGAAAGCTTATATTATTATACTTACAGTAAAATATTTCTTTTCCCTTCTTTTCAGTAAACCTATCTGTATTTTGTTGATTTTTATTTGTCTAGTTGTCAGGCAAAGAGTTGCGGTAGGTTCAATTTTCACCCCAATTTTATTGAAGGTTAAGAAAAATGCCATCAACAATTTAAGCTACATATTCATCAGAAATTCTCTTTTGAGAGATTGTACCTACACCCTTCCTTTCCTGCCTCCTAGCACAACAGAATATCCAATCTATCTGCTTCAATTAGTGTGGGAAGATTTTTTTGTTTAGCTATTTATAATTATACCTACTGGATAAAAGAAAGGGTTGGTATTGTGTTAGTGTCACACATTCTATACAATGCCTCCTACATTTCAAAATATTACACTTTTGGTTGAACTGTTGGTCAGAGTGATAAATACTTAATTACTTGTTATTAATTCTTGACCATTGGTAACTGCTGATAAAAATACTTAATTACACAGAATAGATATTTTTATGGAAATACATTCACATTGTTTATAAGTGCGTTAAGAATATAGGTTGTGTTGAACACAATTTACTTTCAAGAACTACTCATTTTACATTTTAGAAAAATAAAGCAGAACGTAGTGAACCAAATATTCCACTGTAAAGTATACAATATTTATGATTAAAAAGAGTTATTTTTATCTTCTAACAGGTATGTATTATTAAACTTTCAACTGAAATCCACATTTGAAACAGATAATGATAATCAGTACAAGATTTATCAGTGAAAGGGATTTTTGCATTTTGCATTCATTAATTTATTATACAGCTTAGTACTTGTAAACTTTTCTGTGATACCTGTATATTGACAGTAACTGTCAGTAATTTTCAGTCTGCATAATAAAATTTAGGTAGAGCTAGAATTCTTTTTTTTACATATGCAATTCCGTAGGTTGTGATTGTACTGTAAGCCAGAACTACCAAAAAATCTAGAATTACACCATCTTTCTTTATGGAGTAAATATAATATAGCCCAAATACTACTTTTCTTTTTCATTGATTCCCATTTCTTCAATCTTTGTACTAATCTTAGCCATTACATCTCAGAAGTGCACTTCAAACAGTGTCAATCATACCAGTAATATTCTGGAAATGTGAAACCAAAACCTAATGCACTTATGGATGACTTTCAGATACAATAATTTTAGTAATCTTTTGAACAGTCATTGTGTTGTTATATATATATATCTTCGTACTGCCTCATTTATTTAATTGTATAGTTAGAAACATTAGAATATTTCATTGTAAATATAATGTCACATAATTTTTTTTTCACGATGTACATTTCAGTAAAAAAAAAGTCTTTATTTGCATATGTATTATACAATCTTAGAAAAATATAAAAATATTTTACTATTATTTCATACATGTGAAAAATTTAGTTGTTATTTTTTACTATTATTGCATACATGTGAAAGATTTAGTTGTGTTATGGCTTCCATATACTTAAAAGATTTGAATACCAAATACTACAGCAGTATATTGTTTGATGTGACTCAACCCAGACTTAATGCTTCAGCAGTATGTAGTGCAAAGTAACTTGAACAGCATCAATAACTATTAACCCATATTTAAATGTTTCAATCAAGTGAAATATTACAGTATTATATGTTGTACAAAGTGACTTAAATAACACTTATAAACCCATATTTACTTCACTTATCTAAATACTACACCAGTACACTTTGCAAGTTGACTGGAACAACACAATCAATTGATATTTAATACTTTGCCCCAGCTAAATATTACAGTAGTACATTGTGTGAGGTGACTTGAACAACACACTTAACCCATATTTGAATACTACTTGAATAACACTATCGACTCTTACTTAATACTTCAATCAAGTTAAGTAATACAACATTATATGTGATGTGAATGAATGAACATTATCAACAGTGGTGGAAATGTGCTGAAACCAATATCTTGGAGTAAATGTTTTTGACTTTACCAAGTGGAACACCCCAGAACCTGTGAAAAGTAGTCTTGGTTTAATAAATTGCTAAAACAAAATTTATTTAAAAAAACAACAACCAAAAAGTACAAAAGCATTCATTTTGTAATACCTAATTCTTGATATGTAAATTTCCATTACTGTACAATACCAGTTTAGTTCACTAGTTGGAATGATGGGTATATGTATATGGTTACAGTGTGGCATCACACTGTTTTTGTTACAGCAAATGTTCATAATCCCTTAGTCCAAAGAATACAAGGTCTACCAGTACAGTCAAGCTATTCTTTGTCATTACTTGGTGTCTAATGCAGTTATTGATATAAATATGTATATGATTGCCATGCATTCTCTTTCTTTCACATGCTGTTGAGACAGTCATAACTTGGTTACTACATGGAGCTTAACTTTAAATGAAGTACCAAAGTTTAGGTTGAGGATTTATAAAAACTAAGTGTTTTTCTCTATCAGGGCCCATTCTTTCAAAAGAACTGTTTGAAAATAGATGGGTCATGCCATACCATATTTCTTCAAAAGAACTCTGTTTAACCCTCTCGATATACAAGAATTCAGCACAACAAGTTTATAGAAAGACAAAAAAGCTTAAGAGTATTGTATCATGCATTTTTACATAAGTGAAGTTATATAATTTTCTTTGAAAGGGCTCATCTACCTCTAAACTTGAATTCACCAATGTGCATAAGCTCATTGTTACTAGGTGCTGTATGGACCAGTCATTTAAAAAGAATACAAACAAAATATTAAAGTTTGTCAGTGACTTTGAATTTCGACAGACACCTTGCTAGTTGTCTGTAATACACTTGTATGAAAATTTAATTCAAACAGTATATGATCAATATATGTTATATAACATAATACAACTAACTGATTATTTTTTATTGTGTATCTAATTTCAAATTTGTCTAGGGCAAGCCTCCACATGAACAGGGTTCCAGGAGTGAAATATTTCCATATCCACCACTGGCTGTTAAACCATATTTAATACTTCACTAATGCAGTATACACTGCATGAGTTAACTTGAACAACACCATTAACCCATTTTTAATACATTACTTGCATTAAATACTATAGCAGTACATTATGCAAGGTGACTTTTACAACACTGTAGACTCTTATTTAATATTTCAATCAAGTGAAATACTACAATATTATATGTTATGCAAAATAACTTGAATAACACTTATAAACTCATATTTGCTTCACTTATGTTAAATATTACAGCACTACATTGTGTGAAGTGACTCGGAGAATACTCTTAATACATATTTAAATATCTTAACCAAGTTAAATACCATAGTAGTACATTGTGTGAAAGTGACCGAACAATACTACCAACCCCTATTTAATATTTCTCTCACATTTTTTGTTTGGTAACTCTTCCTCATGGAAAAACTCTAATTTTAAGCATACTCCAGACTTGTGCAAATTTAGTTATGATAATTATAATTAAAACAATGATACAGATTAGCTGTTAACATCTATCAATATATTGATCATTGTTGTTTGACAGAGTCTATATTATTAGAAGGTTAGTAATGCTGTCTGCACTAAGTAAATTGTTACCATTGAAGTTATTAAAATATCTGTTTAAAAAATGAAAAAAAAGACCTCTAACTTTGAGCAAAGTTTTTCACATTTATTTTATAGTTAATGTAGTTTGAACTGATAAATCATCAGTGTGATTCTGTAATTTGTTCTCTCACAAATGAATCATTGATTTTGAAATTCTAATTCTGTCAACAACTTGGTCAACAACATTTTTGTATTTAAATTTTGATCTCACTGGCCCTAATTTGAATCAACTAAAAACTGTTATGAGCTTCTCAGTTTACTCCATTGGACAGTAGGGATCTGTGAAGATCATTAACTTTAAAAAGTACTACAAACTATTTTCCAGAATGCCTACAGGTGTTTTGTAAATTAAAACTTGTTTTAATAAAACTTTATCAATAGAAATTTTGTTATGTTTTGTCTTGTAGTTTAAATGTGTTTACATTAATACTAAGACTAATGTAAAACAACTATACAGTAAGGCTGTATGAAAATGTGATGTGAATAAATTCTTTAATCTAGTTCTATTTGTCTTACTGATTCATGTTATTTTGAAAATAATTTATGGTGCCTAAAACTGTTTACCAATTTTTTTTCCATTTGAAAGGATATAAAAATGAGTAAAATTTCAATAAAAAGTGTCATCAGAATCTTAAACTGAAAAATCAAATCTTAATCTTAAAATGTCAAAGTTTGACTTTCAAAAGAAATTTCTTTAGACATTTGAACTTTACTGAACTTCTACATGTTATCTAAATAACAGTTACATACGTTTTGACCTGCACATTTCTAATTTTTCTTCTACATCTATTCTCGTTATTGTACTTGCATCTGGTTGTTTGTTTATCATTTCGGCCATTTTTTCCATATGACAATTAAGACAGATTAAATATGTTACTATGGATTAATTTCACTTATAACAGAAGTTTATATATGTAGGCTTGTATGTGTCAGTTATTTTGTTTAGTCAACATATAAACCCATACAAACTTTTATGTTTAAGGAACTAGAACCGCTTACTTTTGTGCCTTTTCACACTACTAAAGTTCTACAATAGAACCGATCCTTGCCTCTTTCATCATAAAATGCCTTGTTTTTGTCTACTTTTATAATAGTGTTAACAAAAATTTAGCATGAAGATCATCAAACGTAAATAGGATTTTATTTTATTTCTTTTTTATTCTGGAATATTTTGGTATTTAATTTTACAAATGAAACTGAAAAAGAATTGGTGAAAAAAAAAGTACTAACATTTGTCATCACAGTAATAGTGTTTATCTGCAATAGTACTTTCTTAAGATGAAAAAAGAATTTGCTTGAAATGTAATTTTTCAGTATCTAGGAAAATTAGTAATTAATTTATAATTACCTAGGTGATTGTATAACAACAAATCCTTCACATTGTTACTAGTGTAAAATTTTCAGTGGTATTGTACCAAGTGACTAAGGTTAAGTAAATCCAAATCCAGGTTTAAATCAGTTAAAATCTGTAAAGTAATTTTATAAAAAGCAGGAAAAAAATCAGGGAAATAAAAAAAAACTCAAATACATGAGGTTTTGTGCACTTTACTAAAAATTTAGGTTTAAAAGTCCATAGTTAATACAGTAGTGGGTGTAAAAACAGCTATTTTGGTTCTGCACTTTGGTGTAATGTACAAAACCCTCTCAAGAGAGAATTGTGGCAATAATACTTCGTAAAATTTGTATTTTTTTAAGACATAATTTAATACTTAAAAATCAATCGACTTTTAAAACCAGTGCAGTTCAACAGCATTCAAAGTTTTATTCAAATAACACAAACAAGAAGTTATTATATTCTTGTTTTATTTACATAAAGAACTTGCATTAGTGGTCAATAACAATATTTACAATTCAAATAGCAGCTTTTTCTTTCGTTTTTAGATACCCATGTAGTCAAATAACTACCAATATAAAAACAAACTTTTAGTCACTGAAGAACAGTTAACATGAGTATTCCCTCACCATTTTTTACCATTAAAAAACATTTGCACATATATGAGCTTCCCAAAACTAAACACACAGAGAAATATATTTATCACAATAAATTGTAAGTGATATGGGATCAGGTTTATGGATAGAATAAATAATCCATCAACTAGCTCCTCACTTTGGCACACCAGCTGGTTTCTACTTGAGCTGTTCTTTAACTAACAAGTCACATATTTAAGTCAGTGGTTGTACTACCCATACTAAACTACAAATTCCATCTTTCTCTTTCTTCATTATTTTGTTTTTCTAAGTTTTTGTTTTGGCAAGAATTAAAAAGAACTTTAAAGTTCAGCATATTTTCTTATTAACAAGGTTACAGATAATTCAGTTATATAAAGGTCTAATGTACGAACTGACACTATGTAAATATTAGCAAACAGAGATAGAATTAATTTGTGTTGTTTGTTTGTTCATTCGGAAAATCTCCTTGAATGCAGTTAAAAACTCTGGCCTTATAATGATTAAAAATAAAAAATAGCATACTAAAAATCTGAAAATTTTAAAGAAATAGTTAAAATCACCATAAAGGAAGGAGAAATATCAGATCAACTTTTAGGCCAAACAACTTTCATTGGAACTACATATTTCTCTTTCCCTTACACTGACTTGAATCATTTCTTTTTAGCAAGTTTAGAAATATTCATGAAAACTATGAAACAGGAAGTAGGTATATGGAGAATGAGTGTACTTTTCTCAAATAAATAATGCTTAAGAAATAAAAAATTTGGCATGAACATATGAAAAGAGTAGATTAAGTAAAATGCATACATTGTATTAAGTGTAGTAAAAATCTTCGCCATAACACAAAATATCTATGTTAATATCACAAGTCTTTGTTTGTTTGCTGTTAAGCACAAAGCTATACAATGGGCTATCTGTGCTGTGTCCACCATAATGATCAAAACCTAGTTTTTAATGCTGTGAGCCCTCAGACTTACTGCTGAGCCACTGGGGATGGACAAGTTTACTAAGTAAATTCATGTACTATTGGTGTAAAGTAATAATATCTAAAATGTTCAGATACTTATTATTTTGAAGGCAGTATAATTAGTTCTGTAGGAATTATTCCTTCTTCAGCTAATCTCTCCAAGTGCTTAGGTATCGAATCTCAATGTTTAGCATTATAAACCTATAGACTTATTGCTGAGCTAGTGGGGAAGGGAGACATATCAAAAGTCATAAATATACTTTTACTCCATGTAATTACCACTTTGGTCAGTGCCAGTGTGAAGTTTAAAATAAATTTAAAAATTCACTGATTAAGAGTACATTTCAGTTTGATTCAATTAAAACTTAGTCTTTCTTTTACAAAATTATCTATGTTTTTTGGAAATATTCCTGTGACTTTATGTATTTTTACTTTGTGGTACACGATTTATTATTAAAATATTTCCACACAAACTTAAAAAGCTTATGAAAACAATTGGGTATAAAAATAGCTGCTACTTTTTAAATTTGATAACAAAATTTAAATACTGGTGCTCTTTGAATAAACACTGAATATGGGTATCAGGATTTTAATATTAAGTTTATATAAAAAATTTACATAGTTAACATCAGTAATGATCTCAAGTATTTAGCCTAATAAACTTACAAAAACTTAAAAATATAAAAATTGCAAAAATAGTATTCCTAGGAAATAACATCTAAAAATCAAAGCTTGGTGATTAAACTCAGAGTTTATACTGTTGTCAGAAAATTTAACTAACAAATGTACTGTATAAGTTTTTTTCCAATGAAACTTTCTGTTGTGGCAGAGCTATTCTCACAATTCAGATCTAACATGACAATTCCTGAGTCAAATTTCATCAAACAAACAAGACTAAATTTTATATTTATATTTGTCTTATCATACCTCTACTCATGCAACTATATACAGTTTTTTTTTATTTTCTTTAGGTATAGCATAATAACCATTTTTAAGTTTTTTATGCTTTGCATTACAATAGCACTCACAACACACACACTGAGGTAAGCCTGTAGCACTGTCCTTCTAATTTATGAAGTTATTAAATGAAAAGCTAACTGTAGTAAACTATTAATAGGTGTATAAATAGTGTTTAACAAGACAAGGTTAGTCTCCATCTGGCAATGTGTCAAGTGTATTCTACTAAATGCTTAAAAATATCTGGAAGTATAGCTAAAAGCAGTAAAAAGTTTTACAAGCACTAGTTGCTTACATTAACTCAATTAAAAGATATAAAAAAAGAGAACTTTCTTTTGAAAAAAAATTATAAAACGTAATCTTACAATACTAATTATGTCACTAGATGTATTCACTCTTACTAAATGCAGTAAGTACAACTATAATAAATTTATTTTATTGAGAAACTTTTAGTTTGGAGAAATACTAAATTGTATTAAATAAGTCTTTTTAAATATATCCTGTATATGGATAAGAAGTTTTTAGGATTGTAACTTGCAGAAATTTAAACATCATTATTTCATTGAAAAAACTAAACGTTGTACTTCTAGATCAACACATGACTTTTAACATGATTTAGGAAATTCACTTATAATGAAGAAACTTGCTTTGTGAAACTTTAACTGTGATGAGGTTAGTAAGGAATGAAACTATCTATATCCTAAGAAGATCCAGTACTGTAACACATACATGATCAAAAAGATAAAATAAAATCATCTTGAAAAAGAGGACCAGTACTATAAATACATGTCATTGATAATATAAGCAAATATATATATGTGTATATATACATACAGTCACAGAGATAGTACAAGCAATGTACTGGATGTCACTGCACTGGAACCATATAACCCTACAAAGACAACCAGTAATGTTCTACATGAAATTATTGAAGTATATGGGATCAACCCCCAAGGAGAATCACTAGTGTACAAAAATTAGTTTTATGAAACTTGCGTACAAATCATATTCATGACATAAGTTATCCATTAATCACACAAAGGAAAATAAGTTTTAAGTGACCAATCAAGCAGAAATTAATTAATTTCAAATTCAAACTACTTATTCTCAATCTAAAGTTATACATTCTCAAGATTATAGATCAAGCTCATAACAATGGTAAACAAACAGTATATCTAGTGTCCAGTTGAATGCATGAAATAAGGCACACAGAAATGATGAAGACAAACATTTAAGATTATTTGTACTGCACAATGCAATTTGAAAGTTAAGAATTTATTTATTTTTTTGTCTATTTGTTAACATATTATGAAGCAACTAGATAATATAAGGCATAAAAGTTGGTTTCATAATAAAAGGCACAGAAGGTTTAAAATCAAACAAAAAAGTATAAAATTTCATTTTCACTAATGTGGCACTATATAAAATGGGCTTAAGCTTTTCCAGAAGTTCCTTTAGATAAAACACTAACACAACAATAAACCAATAGCTCAAATACATCCATCTGTTTATTCTTTCTAACATCTAACCGTAAAAATATTTTAGGCCTAATTTCACTACAAGGTTCATTCAAAAAGTAACTTTTTTTCTCTCTTGAAAATACAAAAATAAAACCTCATTTAAAATGCACTAGTTATAAAATTCTATAAATGCATCATAAAATATTTATTAAATTTTTAAAACTGTATTTCCTTTAAATAACTTGTTTAAGTTTGCTGATATGTCAGAGACCAGAAGTGGCTTAAACGTGTAAGCTTGTTACTAGTAGCCAGACATTTTGTTTTTGTTATCTTGAAAATAATTGATAAACTTAATGAGTGTTTTAGGGGCCATTCATTGCCCTTTGAGTGAGAAGACTTATTTTTCAGGGCATAATCTCACAAAAAACAATATATTTGTTGCATCAGCAAGTCACATGACCACCGT